CATATTCTGTACATCTACTTCTGCTAAAATATGTTTTAGCATTAAGCATTACACCACAATCTTTACTTGGGACCATAACGGCCATGGAGTGTAAGGAACATAGTCTCACTGTATAATGTGTAAGTGAACTAAAACAAAGCACAAGCATAATTCAGTTTAAAAGGATGTACAGAAACACTTTTTGGGAAAACTATGAGAATGAAGAGAGGTGATTGAAGATGAGAAATTATTGTATATGTATGTATAAATGTAAATGTAAGTAGGAATAACTTGCATAATGATTTAAAGGACAATCATTGATCAAGTAAGGGGTGGGAATTAATAAGCATTTGCTTCCTCCTACTCCCTTTGGACACATATGATTTATTATTATTATTAACATGAAGACTTTTTTTTGTTGAATATATAAATATTTTCATGAATGTGGATAAATACTGTATTTTAACAATACGGTATTCTGTTTTTCACATTTTTTATTTTTTATTTGTTAATCTGTTCGAAATAAAGATTGAAATGAAAGTGAACTCGTGTAAATTGAGTTACCCTGCTCATTCCTGCCATTACTTCAATCTTGTTTTCCAGCCAAGTGGCCAAAAGAAACTGGTGATATCGCTTAATTCATGCCAACAGGATTTAGTGGTTTAATACATTTTACACTGAATGTTTTAATCTTAATTAGCTGATTCCTCAGTGTCCCCGACATTCCCTCAGTTATGTGCCCACAATCACACCAGCAATTTAATGGTTTAATTTAACATCTTTTATAATACTCTTCTTTTTTGAAAAGAAATACGTCTCCACAAAACGTGAAAAGGTTCAAGGTTCCGTCCTTTTTTAGTTTAGTGCTCGGTAGACTGATGAATGGAACAAACCCTGACAAAACCCAATGTAGCACAAAGAAAATTAATCACAGCTGCTGGGACACAGCCAACACAAAACCAGGCCATCATATCTGAGCGAGAGCTGGTGGCAGAGCAAACAGCAGCAAGTACAACATGGAATAATTGTAAATGAATAGGTTTTTCTTCTCTAAGAGCCTCAAGTGTACAAAGCTCTGTAGAGCTGTTTTGGTGTATGTATATGTTATCAGCCAATAGTCCCTGTGCAACGGCTGCCATGTCTGAAGTCTTGTGTCTTCTCCATAAGGAATAATTTCCCTCCCATATGTAACTTAGAGGAGAACCTCACAGGGAAGTGTGTGTTTGGGTGGTTTTGAGGTCATTCACATTAATTGTGTCCTGGATATCTTTTCAAACAGCCTATTGAGAGTTGGTGTCACCTTGTCCTATAGAAAATGGGGGGTCTGTGTGAACAAGCGTCTGCTGGGCCACACAATAATATGCCATGAGAGACACAACAGTGTGATCTGGCTTTGTTTAGAGTCACAGTGGGATTTCCTGTCAATCTGTTTTCTCTCTCGTGTGACGTGTTGTCTTTTCCTCTCCTCTAGATATAAATGTCTCCTTCATTTCTTCTTGTCCCCCCTTAAGTAGGCCACCAAGGAGCATTTGTCACTTTTTGTTTCCATACAATCTACTTGGAATAATAGAGTATTCATCATACCTAACTCGGACGACATTAGAGAACATAATTTAGGGTGTGACCCCTATTACCATCTTTATTGTTATACAGTATGTGCCTCTGGGTCCACTGGTATATAGACTATAAATAGCCTGTAATTGTGTTGACACCAATAGAATCATGTCTTGGGCTCCATTCAACCTTTTCCTAGACATGTGCTTTTGTGGTCTCCTTCATCTGCTCTGTAAGGCTTATCTCAGATTTACAGGGAAATAGTTTTATGAAATTAGCAGCCTATGACATTAAAACAACCCAGGATAGAAAGAGATAAAGACAAGCAAGGCTGTGGCATTAGGGACATAGGCCAATGGGAAATGAATAGGGTTCCCTTGTGGCACTTGACCTTATAACCCTTGATGTTACTTCGTTAGTAACCTTTGTAAAGCTTCTCAATCCTATTACCTCTGCCCTTTATTTCGTCATGCTCTTCTGTAGTTACAATCTCCAACAGCTCTGAGTTTTGGGATTTGATATAAGCCTCCTTTTACTGAATCATAACAATCCTGTTATGTCTGGTGCACAATATGTGAACATTTTAATACTATTCTATATAAAAAGAAAAATGTAACCTGTTATTTACTTTGTGCAAATATTTTTCTCTTTATTAACAACATCATTTTCCATTTGCTGCCCCCTCTCCTTCCCCTCAGGTTCGTTAGCTCAACCTTCGCTCTTCGGCCCCGGCACCTCTGCTCTCTGCTCTTGATGTGTTTGATTCTAATAGATTTTCTCTAGGGCTGGAGGAGAGCAGCACAGAGGGGAAGAAAATAAACAGATAGGGTCATTATTCATGTCTGCCGTGACGCTATGGCAACAGTGTCCTCCTGCTCTGATTGGTCGTAGATAAGGTTGCCTCTTTAGCCATCACTTTTACTCCTGGGAGTGGACTCCGAATAATTAGGCCGTTGTCAAGGCCCGCGTTGTCAATCACCTCCTAACAACCGTTGCTATTGCCCCATTTCTGCTGCTGTGCTTTCATTTCCTCTAGATGATTTACAGGGAAACCCCGCATCATGTGCTCTCTGCTGGCTTTCCTGCTTGTTTACTCAACTGGTTTTCTGTTTAACCAGTAGATCCAGGTCACAGATGAGGTTGTGATTAAGCTTGACTAGAAAAGGGAGGAGGAAAAGATCATTTTTGCACTGTTACATAATTGTAATTAAAACACACAAATGTTATATCATTATATGTATATTTAATGCTACAGGATTTATGATTATGTCTTATACTCTGCATTGTTGTCGAAGCTGCGATTGTTTTCGAGGTTTAAAAATAAACTTTTCTCTGATTTAATTCATTTTATAAGATTATTACGTCCTCTGTGTGGGCTTTTGCAAAAATTGGCTTTATTCCAGCTACAGTATACCCTCCTACTCATCCTCCAAGTTGTGCTGTTTGGTCCTGTGTTATGGTTTCTAGGAGTAATTCAGGATTAATATACTAAGTGAAGAATACAGTTAAAAAAGAAGCCTGTTCTTAGTCCACTAAACTACCCTAGCTGAGTTTACTGCTTGATAGTCCGTTTTGGAAGCCTTCAACTAAGGTGCATTAAGAGTGGATAATGGAGACACAACTAAGGCTGAATTTTAGAGCATACTTCAGTAGAGAGATTCTGCTCACCTTCATTGGAGCATTAGCTTTAATTTCAGTGGATGAAATGTCAAAACATTGTCACCTTATGTGTTAACCTTTAAACTGTCTGACATCAATGCATGTGTGCATTCAAACAAAGGTTCTTAACTTCAGCATCACATATCAGTTCCTAATCACCAAACAAGCCCTATAAATAAAAATGACAGGGGTTGATCGGAGGCTGGATAGCCGTGCAACATTCCCTTTGGCATTTCTCACGGTTGAATAAGGAAGTGTATTCAGATCAAACAAGCTCAAGTTACAGAAATAATATGCTTCAAGAAAACCCAGTGTTTTTTGTGTGTTTACACTATGAATGCTGGATGAGAGGGAAACTGTCATACGGTGTTAAAAGAGGTGTAGTCTACCACCACGTACTTGCTTGTTAGCAGGATTGGTGGAGTGGGGACGGGGTAGTGTGTGTGCTTGTCGGGATGTGTCAGGATACCGTTTTCTTCCAGTTCTCTGCGTTCTGCAGTGAAGTGGATTTTGAGGACATGCTGCTCCTATTACATGTTCATTTTATGTTGTGTTGGTGCCACTGCAGGTGGAACAAGGGACAGGTAATGGTCCCCTTAGCTCTAAAGAGCCCATTAGAGAGAGAGTAATCTGTGTGAAATATCATGAGGATAAGGTTTTGTAACCCCAGTTCTGTGATCTCAGACAGAGCCCTGAAGCCTTTTCACTTTGCTGTTTTATAGCATTCACCATCACTCATTTAGTGGAAACTGAGTAGGGTCAGCACTGTATGAAACCAGTAGGCTTGTCTGATTATCTCTGCAGATTCATGCTCATTTTAGTGCAGAGGAAAGTGGTTAAGATCCCATTCAAGGCTATGATATAGAACTTTAGTTACGATTCCTAACCTGTTGTGATTTACCATCAATTTGACTAAATCCTGAGATTTTTATGAAAGTATCTTTGCATTGTCAATCCAAGAAGAGTGTTTTTAGTCATGCATTTTACTTGGCTCAAAGGATTGCAATAGCAGTTGGCCAGTCCACCACTGAGACTAAAATATCTCAACAGCTAGTAGATGGATTTCCATGAATTCGGCACAGGCATTCATTCCTTCATAAGGATACATTGTAAAAACATTGGGGATATCAAGGTTCTTTATCTGGTGCCATTACAAGGTTAAAACAACAAACATGTTTTCAGTAATAACATGGATAGCTGGAAATCTAATGAAATTCCATCAGCTTCAGCCTAACTTTGATTTCAATGCAAATAAGCACATGTTAGCATTCCCTTACACACCATCTCTGACAATCTTCAGCCACCTTAAAATAACACTTTGCTTTTTTTTAATAAATACCTGGCTCTTGTAGACAATGGATATCGTTTTCAACAAGTCAAATATACTGTATTTTGTGATGATTTTGCTTGCGAGTATTAGATGCTAAACATCAACAACACTTCCCACTGAAGCAAAGTCACTCATGTGGATAAACCTCTTAAGTGAGTCATGAATAAATAAGTGGTCCAAGTCAATCCAATCCATTAGCTCTCAGCAATCACACACTTCACGCAGTTAGCCATTTATTTAAGTTATGTTTTAAATGGTGAGTGTATTGGAGTGACTTACACATAGCACTTTCATACTATAATCAGAACCCCTTTAAAAGCAACAACTTTGCATTCATTGTATTATGTGTAGGGTGCTATTTACAGACTAAGAAATGTATTCTTATGTGTGTATCTGATATGTAATTTATGTTTTTGTCTGATTTCATTCTACGATCCTGCGTCTTTACTCATATTACTTTTATACATTTGTCTTTCAGATCCTGGCCATCATCTCCATTCTCTTTATTGTGCTATCCACCATTGCCTTGTCTCTGAACACCCTCCCAGAGCTGCAGGAAACAGATGAGTTTGGCCAGTCCTCAGATAACCCACAACTGGCCCACGTGGAAGCTGTATGTATTGCCTGGTTTACAATGGAGTACCTGCTCCGCTTCCTCTCCTCTCCAAACAAGTGGAAGTTCTTCAAGGGTCCTCTGAATGTCATTGACCTGCTAGCAATTTTGCCCTACTACGTTACCATCTTCCTGACAGAATCCAACAAGAGTGTGCTGCAATTTCAAAATGTTCGCCGCGTGGTGCAGATTTTTCGGATAATGCGTATCCTGCGTATCCTGAAGCTTGCTCGTCACTCTACAGGTCTTCAGTCGCTGGGGTTCACTCTTAAGAGGAGTTACAATGAGCTGGGCCTGCTTATCCTATTCTTGGCCATGGGCATCATGATCTTCTCCAGTCTAGTGTTTTTTGCTGAGAAGGATGAGGAAGATACAAAGTTTAAAAGCATTCCAGCTTCTTTCTGGTGGGCTACTATTACTATGACCACAGTAGGCTATGGTGATATATACCCAAAAACTCTACTAGGAAAGATTGTGGGGGGTTTATGCTGCATAGCTGGAGTACTGGTTATTGCCCTACCTATTCCCATTATTGTAAATAACTTCTCTGAATTCTACAAGGAGCAGAAGAGGCAGGAAAAAGCACTCAAACGAAGAGAGGCCCTAGAGAGAGCAAAGAGAAATGGTAGCATTGTCTCAATGAACTTAAAAGAGGCATTTGCTCGTAGTGCAGAATTGATGGATGTGGTGGTAGAGAAGAGCGAGAGGCCTCATGACAACCATCTTTCTCCAAGTCATTGGAAATGGACTCCCAAAGGAGCTGCATCGGAGACAAGCTCAAACCGTTCCTTTAATGCACATGAAGGCTCTCCCGACAAGGGCCGAGACACCAGTCCTCAGAGGATAAATGTTCAGAAGCTCGAGGAGATGTACAACCAAATGGCCAAGACACAATCCCAGCCAAACCTCAATGCTAAAGACAGGGGCTCTAGAGCTGGCAAACAGAGGGACGAGATAGAATTGGGGGCCATCCAGGATCACAGGCCAACGGTGCTAGGAACCAGGGAAGGAGTGGGTGACATGAAAAGCCTGTCCAGCATTGACAGCTACATCAGTTGTGCTACAGACTTCCAGGAGAATCCACGCTTCACCCATAGTCCAGCAATGGACATTGGTCTTCAGGAAAGCAACAGGTTCTCCCACAGTCCGGCTATAGCTTTTTCCCAGCATGGGAACGCAAAAACAGGCCAACAAATCACTGGGGAGCGTGAGCCCATGTTGACTCCCATCACAAAACCCTCATACTCAGAGAATGCACGGAGATTCTTTTTTCCTGGCAACTCCTCAAAAAGCATTATACCCAAAGGAGGCTGTCGCAGCGATAGGGGGTCAGGCCCGTCCCCGCTCTCAGACAGCTCAGTCCAGTCAGACAACTCTCTGTTAAGCCCGGAAGTTTCCGTCTACACAACCGCCAGCAGCAGAACTCCACCGAAGTCCCCAGAGAGCACGACCCTGGCGGCAACTGTCTTCACCTTCCACGACTCCTCCATTAGCAAATACATCGACGCCGATACAGATGATGATGAGCACCTCCGCGACATCTCTGAAGCCAGTCCTTCAGAGCGTCTTTTGGCTGGTTCAAGCCCAAAACGCAGCATCAACATCAATTACCAGAAGGGCACCAACCATTTAGAAACAGCCCAAAAAATGCTTGGCCAGAACTGTCTGTTCCCGAATGAAGGAATTCGTAGGGTAGTTCATGAGAATCATGTAGGACCTGAGATGGCACGTAGACCAAAGGTTGACAGGGGGCGTCAACATACTTTGGATAAAGGCCTCTGAGGCACAAGTGCAGCAGAAATGAACAGGGAGCTGGAGCAGAGTGTTTACTGTATGATGGAGACATCGGACAGACTGAAAACACAGAGACAAAGAGGAATAGACAAAGGATCTCACCAAAACATTTCACAAATTATCTGAGCATGCCATAAGGCACTACGCTCAGGGTCAACAGGTGTGGTGAATACTCTGGGAGAAAAAAACTTCAACATTGGAGAATGTCACTGCCCCTCCTTCAACTCATTCCTACTACTGGTGTTACACAAAACAAAAGAGCACTCCCAGGTAACCTACGGGTCTGTTCAGAGATACCCGTGGAATCAGAGTCGATAGAGACATGTGGTGAGTTTAAGCAGCAGGGGGATATCTCTTATCTCTCCAGGAAATAAATCCTAGCTGCCGGCTATCCCATTACTGATTCCCAGTTCATTTTGTAGTCTTGGAGATACAGGAGAGGACCTACAAGCCTATAAGCTACTAACTTGTGCCCTCCATTCCCAAAACTGGCCTTAGTCATTTACATTTGTAGGGGTGTGCATGTCTGCATATACCGTAAGGGTATATGTGCATGTGTGTGAGTTAGTGTGAATGTTGATGGGTGATCTAATGTTAATTCATGGATACACACTCTTGAGATTGTCTTACCTGATTTATTTTTATATAGAAAGTCCCTTATAAATATATGTAATTTGCTAGTCTGCTGTGTCATATTCATATGTGAAGAGTAATCTGGTGTGAGGGGAAATGTCTTGGCACAGCAGCAGTTATCAAAAGCTCCAGCCCATCATCCATTAAACTGAACACTCTTTCTTGAACAGTATTTTGCTATTCCCTATGCTATCATGACACGGTGAGAATGGATGATACTTTCAAATATTGACCAGTGAATATTGTCCTAGCACCCCAGTATGATTTTAAGGGATGGTAGTGGTAGTGAACCAATCATTTTGTATATGGGCTAACATAGGAGCCTGAGATAATAAGCTTGATTGCTGCATAAAGCGCACATTTCTGAAGCATGCATGCATCCAACCAGTCAACATACAAAAACATGAGATGCTTTAGAAAATGAAATATATAAAAATCCAATAATATCGTTTTTTCTTTACTGCAGGAGCAGATGTTCAGCATGCATTGGCCTTCTTTTGACCAACACAAAAGCATCTAATGTATTCACACTCTCAGATAATGGAATATGTGTGTATTCCATCTCTACTTTGCTCCTTTAATCGTCAAATAAACTTTAATGGCACTAAATATACTCCGCCAGGTTAACGTTACTGTAGGCAAGTCAGTTGTAAATGCGGACCTGATAAAACTCATGCATGAGCACACACACCCACTAATGACACATACAGGCATGAAAAACCATTTTCAGGATACATCGATACATTTAGTTTCCATGGTGACAGCAGCCTTCTTTTAAGGCTGGCTGCAGCTCAGCAAAGGTTTGTTAATTGGGGCGGGAAAGTCTGATTGCATTTAACGTGTGTTTAACACATACACATGAACACACACACACACACACACACACACACACACACACACACACACACACACACACACACACACACACACACACACACACACACACACACACACACACACACACACACACACAGGCATGTACCAATAAAGTGACAGGTATGCACAGTAGACACATGTTACCAGAGCCACTTCTCACTGTGCATATTCATGAGTACTGAAGCAACATTATGATGCCTTGTTATGTTCATGTGTTAAATCTCTGTAGTATTCCATAAATACTACAACTCTCAACAATGCATTGTCTATTATCTGTTTGTATTTCAACATAGCAGTCTTACATAACAACCAGAACCCAACATATAGAGGGACAAAGTGCTGTATTTAAACCAAAATCCTGGACTTAAAAAATATGAATTTATTCATTTATTAATATTGTCTTCACCCCCATATATAGACCATTCTTACATGAGCAGGGTAACTATAAAGGGTTAACAACCCACTGTTCCCCCCTCAGCCCCAAATGTGATTTCAACTATGAAGGTACAACCTTTTTTAATGCCTTTAACATTTCTCAAGAGCAGGTATCTCTCAACATGACTGTCTCTAACTTTAACAAGATTAGCCATCTAATAAAACTCTGAGGAAACTGTAGAAGCTTCCTGTCCTAAATATAGTAGTGGAAGATATACATAAAATAGGACATTGCTCTATAATACAAGTAGGTGTTGAGTATACAATTTTATACAAAAGTCAACAGAAGGTGATCGTCATGCATTTTTTAGTGTTTTTGTCCAGAGTCTAATCACAAATCCTGATTTCTTTTCCGTTTTAATCACAGAGTTGAACCATTTCATATTGCTCTCGGTTAGTGAAAGGAGCTGAGGTGTGGAGTGAATAACAATGACTGTGAGAGGCAGAGAAAAGTGTGTGTGTGTGTGTGTGTGTGTGTGTGTGTGTGTGTGTGTGTGTGTGTGTGTGTGTGTGTGTGTGTGTGTGTGTGTGTGTGTGTGTGTGTGTGTGTGTGTGTGTGTGTGTGTGTGTGTGTGTGTGTGTGTGTGTGTGTGTGTGTGTGTGTGTGTGTGTGTGTGTGTTTAGAGCAGTATGTTTGTGAATGAATGCATGTTGGGGGAATCCTGCTTCTTTTCTCTAAATATTCTATCTGCAGTTCTTACTCTTACATACAGCAGTAACACAGGTTATACCTTAATCATATTACTCACACATTTGATTTTATAGGGAGTGAAGCCTCATTTAAAGCTGAGAAGCGACTGATGCGAAGAGCATTTTATCGATCTTATTTTTCATATAATTAGTCAAGGATTGATGGTTTGAGCTGGTGATAAATTCATGTAATGCAGCTGCATACACTATGTATGATACAAAATATTTGTTTAATTCATTTTCTTATAATTTATTGTCATTGTCCTTTGTTGCCCACAAACTACAGTATCTGTTTATTTTAGAAGTTAAGATCACCAAAAGGAAAACAATGGCACTCGAAAATATTTTTGAAAGATAAAATTGATTGTCTGCAAAATGGTGTTATCAAATGAAAGGATTTGATTTGAGTAAAAGGCGTATGGCAAAACAATTGACTGCAGCTATCTAACACTTTCCAGATGGCCTTCGGTGAAATTCAGAGTGAATCAGTTTTGAATGTCTCCCTAAAAACTTGTTGTGAATGGCTGCTCCGTTGATTATATTTGTACATTATGTCTTTTCACAATAAATGTGTATAATTCTCCATATCCCATTGCAAGGTGGAAGTGGCAACTTCAATTATATGAAATCACGTTAAATGCAAGCTTAGTTTATTATATTTCATTTTGGTTAGACAAAACCAGTCTTAACACACATTTGGAGTACCGACCCGCTTCATGTAAGCTCCATTAGATATGTGTCTTTATCTTATGAAAGTCAAGGCCAATGCATGCAAATATCTGTAACCCAGTCTCACCTAAATTTCATTACATCATTACAAAAAATGGATGATTAAGTTTCATTTTCAACGCTACGATAAAGGGCATTCAGATCATATAACCTCTCATGAAGAATCATATGAGCACCTGTCGCATCATTTAGGTTTTCTATTATGGCAGTCAGGGACCATGTTTCACTGAAATATCTCTAAACAATGATGACAATCAATATTTCATAAATAGATAGCAAGCACTATTGTGGAGAACTGAGATGTATTATGGGAAGATATTACACAATAGCGCACCCATGTGCATCGACACAAAGCAAGTGTTTAAATCCTTACACTAGTATCGATACTCTTACTTTTTTAGACAAGTGCAAAAGAAACATCAAGCATGATGTTGTGATTTCATACCTAGACTGCGATACTGTGACATAATACCACCATAATACAAGAACATATTGATTTGGTCATTCTTTAAATGTATTTTCTTATGTTCATCCTTGTTTTTATTTTAATCTAAAAGGGATTTTTATTTCACTGATATCACTACGGAGAAATTCAAACTAAGCCATTATTCTTGATGAAGAAAACACAATCAAGTTACTTTATTTCTCATTTATTGATACAAACTAAGAAAAAGAGCACAGATTCATTAACGTTTCCATAACAAGACTCCGAACTGTACAGTGAATGCATTTAGTTTACGTAAGTTAACTTACAATAGAACTTGGTTGTCGCTCTAGCTGCTAAATTTGTGAAAAGGTTCAAGTCGGTTTTTTGGTTAGAACCCCATAGGACCCCTTTCAAGGACATGTGGTAGTTTCTAAAACCCAGTGAGAACCACTGCTTTAGCAAGTAGCCCAATTTACTGAATCTAACACTGTATTACAGGGTTGGGGTCTATTCAGAATGCCTTGATAAAGTAAAACACAAATAACACATTTCGCTGTAAAAGGAACCAGTATTAGAGCATGAAGTAAATAAAAACTTAGTACAAACTAAAACATAATCTATATTTTTTCAATGTTTTAAGCTCTTAGTGGAATTGACCCCAACCTTGCCTAAGCCATCAGTCTTTGTAAAGTACACTGTTTCCAGGGAAGTGAAAAAAGCTATTTGAAAGACCCTAGTCAGCTCTTATACAATGTTGTTTGTAGGTCCCGAGACTGTTTGTTTTGTACAAAAAAAGAAAAAACATTTGTACCTGTTGACTTTCTATGCTGTTGTTTCTGTATCAATGTTTTATTGTTCTGTGCATGTTGTACCTTTGGCGTTGTGACTGGTTGTGATTCACACAGAGCCAGTACTTGTCATGTTAAAAAAGTGTCTCAATGTCCCAAGATATTTCTATTTCTCAACAAAAGCAACATTTCCCTTGAATGAAATAAATCAGATCACTTTACATTTTGATTAGGATTTCTGACTTTCTTTTTTTGCTTTTCATTTGCTGTTGTTGATGCAAACTAAAATAAAAATATGTTTTATTAAAATCTTTGTTGAGCAGTCAGGACAACAAATGCATTGGAGTCTGATTCGAATTAGCAATTTTCATCGGCACATATTCAGCCATTTTAATAAAACATCCACATGAAGTTGCACTCATCTGGAGAAGAAGGCACACCTGAGCATTGACCAGAACTCTTTAACAGGACCGGTTTATTATTCTGGCAGATTGTTCTTTATACATGAGCCTGAGAAGATGTGTACAGGATAGCAGAGGGAAGGAGGATGTTATATAAAGAGGAAGCTGTGGGCTGTTGGGCAGGAGCAGGCCTCCATCCTCCCCACACGCCTCCACACACCCCTGCATCGAGGGTTTCCCACCGCCTGCCACTGGAGTGACTGTCTTCTGCACCAAGGATGAGGGGAGGAATCAGTTAGTGGTCACACAATTACACTTTAAATCCAAGTGATAAACAATGATGCCATCTAGTGGTAGTCCTCATTGTTACCAATCGGATCAAAGAGATAGGTGAAGATCATTTGTCCAGGGTTCTGCGAGGAAAAACAATCCGGCCCAGGCTGCACTGTCACAAATGATCCGCATATCTGTACTCTATCCACCACTGCACCTCGTTTCAGAATACATGCTTGATTTTTGCAGATACCGTGGCCAGGATCTTCTGGAGTTTGAATTGTTTATCCTGATGATATGGCGAGGGTTCAAGTTTGGTTGAATGTGTTTTTTGGGTTAAGGTTCTAGTAGCGCTATGGAGCAGTTTTTCTTCGTGCACAAAGACCAGGATGTGCAGAAAGGTCAACACATCCAGCAAAGGCAAGTTTCAAACTTACTTGGCAAAAAGGCTAATAAACATTTGTGTGTAAATTGATTACCTAATGGCAGGTGAAGCTTTTATAATGTGAAAAATAACAGCAGCAACTGCGCTGTAATTTTTCCTACCAATTTGCCTTTGGTGATAAGGAAAGGTGACCTTTAATAGTGACGTTTTGTCCAACACTTAGTTTCTTTACTAACTAGCCAAATTAAATTCAAGCTAATTTCATGGTTGGATGACACCTTGGCAGAGCTTTAAAAACAAACACTTTATCTTTCTCTTCTGGTCATTAACATTTCCAGAACAACAAAGGCTTGAATGTGTGAATTCTGAATTCAAAGAAGAATAACTTCTGCTCTTTTTCTCCATTTGTAATCATGGAGAAAGCAATGCTTTCATCCAAGAAACATTTTAGTAATCTAATCCATTTTTACCTTCCCCCGTCGTCTTCCTCTCCATCTCCGGCACAGTGTGTCTGTCCAGCAGAGAGAGCGGGCGGCTGGCACTCGACACACACACGGTGCCCCTCCCTCAGGTGCTGCATCCACTGAGTGTGTGGGCCCGAGCTCTGCTGGCACCCTTTAGTCAGAGAGGTCAACTGAAACTGGACACAATACCTATTTTACACACACACACACACACATGCACGCACGCACACACACACACACACACACACACACACACACACAAACCGAACTCAGAATACATACATGTTGACGACACATGAGAACATATCAAATTGTAAAAGTCTCTCTGGTCGTGTTACCCTGTGATGTCACTGCTGTCAGGGATGTCTCTTTTCTTCCTGGCGTTGCCATAGCCACCAGAGATAATCAATGCTGGGACTGCAGAGGAAGCATGCAGGATAACATTACATGTGACAGTATGTTACGGTACCTCATACATTTAAAATGTGCAAATGCCAGGAAACTGTTGATAAAGTATATTAGAACTCCCTGGTGTGGAACAACCTGGAACGCTTTGAGAAACAGCTTCGCTTATGGGCAATATCAGATATTTAGTAGAGAGCTATAAATCATACTGCTGCTTTACTACTACACCGTGGAGACTCCATGCATCAGCAACCCCATTGCTCTTTTACAGTGAAACAGACAACAACTTAGCAACATTTTGTACAATTGTAAAAATCGAGGTAAATAGAACAAGGCTCTGGTTTCTTAATTCCAGTGTGAATTAATGGTCTGCTTGAAGGCGTTTCTCTCCACAATAGTTGTCAAAATAAGAATCTCTGTGCTACTGCAGCAACTATAATGACATATTGGTTAAATGATTAAAGACTGCACAATAGGATTAAAATAACTTTTATTAGTTTAAGTTGAAGTGTCTTATATCTACTGTATATATATATATATATATACTCTTTTAAAGCCAATGTTTCTGCATGTGACTTTTAATTGAATAAAAAAACAGCATGACCTGTTTGTATGAAGGGATATTTAATTATGGTTTTCATTAGTTCACTAACATGTCTTTCACAGGTAAGTTAACAATAAAGGGGTGCTTTCTTTTACATCGCAATCCATCACACTAATTCCACTAGAATAATAAATAATTACCTAAGTGACCTTTTATAAGGCCAGCCATATTTTGTATTTAATATCTTTGTAGGTAAACACCTTAAATGAGTTGATCACATGGATGTGCGTTAGGATCCGGGTGCAATTTTCTCACCAGGTGGGTTGGGACAGTTCCCCTGCTGAGACCAGTACTCTGCGCAGCCGGCGTGCTCCTCCAGGTGAGGACAGGGTGTTCCTGCGTTGAGGGGCCCCTGCAGGATGGCCCTGCTCCGCCTGCGGACTGTGGCCCTGCAGGGCTCAGCACAGCCTGACCATGCTGTCCACTCGCTCACCATACAGGACAGTGCTGGGGGGGAAGAAACAAAAAAACGAATGATAAAGAAGACTAACAAAGCCAACACCAGCATCCTGTAAATCCCCAAATAGTAGTCAGATGTTAAAAATTGCAAATGTCAACCAATTATAGTTTTAAATGACAGTATCATAGTCCTCATGTTACTATTATAGTCTCACTATCAACATGTGCAAGTGTGTGGGTTGTATAGCATACACATTAAGCTTTAAATACAAAATGTGTTTTATGATGTATTGAGAAAAGGGGAGTGGGCAGATCTTAAAGGTCACCTATTGTGCAAAATCCACTTTTTCATGTATTGTATGCATAAAAAGGTGTCCCCTCTGTGTAGAGAGATTCTGAATGTTTCATGAACATAGACCCCCTCTCTTTTTGTCCTGATCCATTCATATAAAAACCTGTCAAAATGAGCTGATCAGATTTTGGCCACTTTATGATGTCATAGCGTTTTTTTGGCCCACCTTATCACCTGAATCTCCTCCGAGAGCACCATTGTGTTCTTTTTAAACCAATCATCTCTCAGAGGGGCGTTGGGAGTGGCACCTTATTTTCATCTAAAGCCCCGGCCACACGAGGACGATAACGGTCGTATCTGCTACAGTTCACTATCAGATAGAGGGTTCGGCCACACAAGGCCGACATGGAAACGCAGAAAACGATAACGATAACGGATCCCAAGGTGGGTAGATCTGCAAACGAAACGCTCTGGGGGGGCAAACGGCTCCGTGTTTACGCCTATACGATCATTTTCTGATAACGTTGAAGCAATAGCCCCGCCTCTCCCCACCTCTCCTGCTCAGAGATCAGCTGCTGGGCTGTCAGAAGAGGGGGAGGAAAAGAGAGGCTCCGTTTTTTAGTGCTGTACAGACCGACGTTAACAGCAGCCCTGTCTGTGCACACGGAGACCGACTCTGTCGTCCGGTGATCTAACCGCCTTCTGGAAAAGCTTCACAAGTACGTCGATACGCAAATGCGCTTTGTGACACAAGTGACGGTACGCATTTCAGATTGTTGCCGCACATGCGTACCAGTTATGTGCACCCCTGCATATAATCATATAATCCGTTCTTATTGTGCATCCATGGGTAAAGGTAAAACTCATGTAGTACTGAACACGTCACATGAACGTGCTGGGCGTCGCGGTCCCGTGGGTTATATATATGCCGAGGAAAATAACTCTCAGAATAACGTTATTAGCACATTTTACAACTTGAGGACCGAATTTTTTAATAAGGGCTATACAAATGTTCATACTGGATAGTTTATTTAGTTTAAAAAAAAAAATCCAACGATTTACAGAGGTCTCTTTCCCAATGTTAGTCAATGGGAAAAAGTCTTTCCGGGCCCAGCGACTGATACGGAAGTGTAGTACCGCCGTTTGGCCACAAATAATATTTTCCTCAGAGTCCGGCGCACTTCCTGGGGGCTTGGACCAGCGTTGCAGTCGGGAAGAAAAGCAATGTGGAGCGGCACCCAGGGCCGGCCCGTAGCACTGGCGACATAGGCGGTCGCCTAGGGCGCCAGATCTGGGGGGGCGCTGCGCTGGTAGTTCTGGGAGGGAGAAAAACATTTTTGACTGTTTGGCTCATCCTAATTTTCAGCCTTGATGTAACAACATTCATAATTATGTCAAGGTAACACCCTTTTCACCCCGGTTACACTTTTCATTTGCCCTGCACGATGGGCGCTGTAAGTGTAAAAGTGGGGGATGTTGACTTATCAGGCACCCACAGCTCACAGCCAAAGTGCGAGCGAGTCTCTGAGCGAGCAAGAGAGAGAGAGAGAGAGGGCGCACATCTGTACCGCGGATTGTTGCTGGATTGAGGCTGACTACAGCTCAGTGAGGTAAAGGACTCTGAGTGTTTAGATAGTTCAGGGGGGGGGAGCGCATAAAGCAGACTCTTCACGCTAACGAAGGATCACTTCTTCTTCAGGGCAGGGAAGGCTAAGCAGTACGCAGGCTACTGTCCCGCAGCTGCTGCCTCTCTGTTAGACTCCGGTACTGCACATTACTCACGAGACGTGAAAAATTGCTTCAAGTGAAACATTCGGGGCTTTTCAGAAAACATCCGGGGCTTGAGCCCAAGTAGCCACCCCCTAGCGCCGCCACTGGTTATGTTCACATACTTATTTGATTATTAAAATGTAAACCGATCTTTTTCATATGGGTGTTTAGAGTTGTACTCCCTAGATCTAGTCTCTAGTAATTCTGCTCAAAGTGCACCAGATTGAAGCATTTTACTTTAAAATGTTAAAAAAAATCTTCAAAAATACATTTGAAACCTTCTTTATGTATATAACCAACATGTCAATACGTTTCAGTTTTTGTAGTGTATTGGTCTTTTGTAGAGATTTTTCATTTATTCTTTATATATTCTATTGTGTATTGCTTGGAGGGGGGGACACCAAATCATAATCTCGCCTACGGCACCAAAATGTCTAGGACCGTCCCTGGCGGCACCTCACCACTTCATAAGGAGTTTGACCGTGCATATAATAATGTTAAAATGTGCTAAATATATACACTGCAAAAAACAAAAAAAAGAGGAGTAAAAGTAGCTCACGACTTGTTTTATTTTTTGAAAGTAGCTCTCATCCTAAAAAAGGTTGGAGACCCCTGATCTAAAGTAACAGACACATAATCGGCACTTTTGAAACAGGCCTGAAACAGAGGGGTTTATGGGATGCTACAATGAGTGATAGGCTATGTTTGGTATTTTGAGCCAAACACTTCAGAGACATGTTTTATATCTGGGACCTATAATATATTGATGAAAAGGAGTATAATAGGGGACCTTTAAACCTTGACCAATATCATCACAATTTAATGTAGGTCACAGAAAAAGGATTAAGGTCATATCATGTGAAAAATGTAATTGAGTTCTGAGTTGAAAAGTCAGAATTCCGTAATCGAGAATTCTGACTTTTAAACTGGAACCCGAATACACCTTTTTAATGTGGCCTATATCTTGCCGTTTATTTACACATACGCACCTGGGCAGGCTGAATCATAGTCGTGGCAGCAGTCCAGGGTGGACACACAGGCTTGGTCACAGTAGCAGGTCCCGAAGGTGCGGTCGGACCTCCACCCTTTGCTGGAGCAGGACGGGTCCCGGCCGGGGCAACACTGTCCTGTTTCCCGGCAGCCCGACTGACACGGGCCGACAAGGAAGAAAGCCACAGAGAGACAAAGCAGAGGGACAGAGCTCCTGCTGACTGTCATCCCGACGGACCACAGCAACATACATGCAACTATGTTAACGACTTACTAATTACCCTGTCTGAAGTTATTCACCATAAAGTGCTTTAAAGTCCTCTTTAATATGTTAACTCCTATCATCTGTGGTCAGTCAGGTCAGCGGACAACAGCAGTTGAGGCGCTGGTCAGTGAGTTGGAAGTTATTCATATGTCAACTCTGTATCTCTTAAAGGAACAGTTTACTACTGTAGGTATGACAAGTGGCCCACAAAACAAGGTAATGACTAATGGTCACTATATAAGTTAAATGAGACTAGCTTTAGATAAACAAAATTATTAAATACAGTATCATAATAATTTTTACAATAACTACTCTTACAGGATACTATACAATGGGTATACCTCACCAATGCATTGCTTTCCTTATCTAACCATAGCATCATAAAAAGAATACTGGAAAAAAAGTATTCTCCCACGGGAAATGGGCTTTTTTATACCGATTGCCCAGCCTTACACAATATTGATAATATGCCTTACTGCATTAGCTTATGGCAGCAATGTGTAATGAGTGGCAGAAACAGAATACAAAAAAACCCTTACTTGGATGCATTTGGTTGGTATTTGAAAGAAACCATCAGTACAGAAAAATCCACCTTCACTTCAAACCGCAGTAAAAAAGTATGTTTACTTAAATTGTCTAACTCTCTCTCTCCCTCTCTTGCTCTCTCTTGGTGAAGCAGCAGCTTCCCAGGCCCATGTGTGCCTCAAACATGTGAAAAGAAAGGATTAATGAAACTCCTATGGCTGAGGTTATTCATGCAAAAAGAACAACAGCGTGGACAGTGCAGGCCTCCACTCAAACTAAGATTCCCAGTGTAGCCTTCTGCTATGTGTACGGAGTGAGAAGATAGAAACAGACAAATGGGGAAACTGAAATGTTATATTGCTCAAAACTTCACAAGCTCCATTCTTAAATTAGGGAGAACATTTACATGACATTTGTGAATCCTTTTCCCTATGCGTGGCCCCCCTACACAAATGTGTAGCTTGCAGAGATGACAACCATTAACTGCTCCACTGAACAGACAGTCATCTCACTACAGCCGTGGGGCCACTCACATGTTCTCTCCTGATTTATTTATCTTCTTATCTAACTTTTTCATTAGGAAACTTGCAGATTATCTTATTTCTAATGCAGTTCTTACAACCAAATGTTTACATTTGGACAATGAATTATGTCGTAAAAGTTGCAGGATCGGTACACAGTTCTGAAAAGACAGAAATGGCCCTGCTTTGGATAGATTCCAACGAGTAGAAACCAAAAGAGTCAGAAATGCATATTTTTTTATAGCACATCCAACTGAGAATGTGGCTGGCAAACAATCAAACAGCTCCATGCTGGATCCACATCACCAGAGGGCGCTCACTTTGCTGCTGTTTCAAAGTTGTTAAGCATGTCACAGAAGGGCAAAATTCTTGGCAGTATTTAAACTAACCTCCTTCCTACAGCCATGACCAATTTCTGTAAATATATTCTGTATTTTAAATAAAGAAATATTTGTCTAGACATCATTTTATAAAGATTTACCAAGTTAAAATGTAGTTGATTATTAGATATGAATATCTTTAAAATAAACACATTTAACCTAGCAATTTCTACTATGACACACAAATAACTACACTAAACCTAAATGTAGAACACTGTATTGTATTGTTCTCTGAATATGGCTCTTATGCCAACACGGGGTAAACAAGGCTTTCAGTGTTCACCAAGAAAACAAAAATGTGACACACTACAAGCAGGCTTCTTGGCACGTCACAAAGCAGAGATTTACATTATCGATAATCTTCTTAAGTTCGGATGTATGAGTTAATTTCAGTGCAGTGCCAAGGTTGAACTGGCTTGTCCCTCAATGGTTAACAAAAATGTTAACTCGATCTCACTACTTCAACTCCGCTGTGAGGACGCAGTGCTAAACTCTGAACTGACTAATTAGCAGCATTTGACTCTGAAAGTTGGTACACCAAATTAGTTTAAACAATATAAGTAGAAAGATTATCATTCATCCTGGTAGTCCAAGGGAACAAACTACATTGAGATCCTCACACAGTTATTGGGAATTGTTTCCATGCTTTTGTAGATTAGCCTTTAACTAATAAAAGAACTCATGAAGAAAAATCACCAATTTGTCCCCTTTAATCTATGACCTGAATCTGAGCCTGCATATTTGTTATACTCCCCATTTTTCCTTATTCTGCCTTATGTTCTTAGTTAGATAAATAGATGTTTTGTTGCTTATAATGCAGATATTTCTCATATACTTCAGATAAAGGTGCAAGCTTTTTCATATACTAATGTGTAGTCCTATTTAAAGGTAGCTTATGTTAAATTGCACATGTGCAGGCTGCAAACTTTGAATAACAGGGTCCTACAAAGACCCTGGAACTTCAAGAATCTTTAACTTGGCGTATTAACGTCTGGCACGTGTTATTTCCCTCAGTCATAGTGGAATAGTATACATCTGAAGCTTGCAACACAAGTGTTTTTTATCAGGAGCTCAAGGTATTTCCTCTAATCCGGGAGGAGAGTGTTTAAATAAACCACGGACGGAGACCAATGGCCACAGAAGGAGGAAAACACCAGCTTGGCTTTCTGCGTCTTTCTCACTCACACGATCTAACACATTGTCAGGTCGCAGGAAACACCTTCACAGGTGTGAAAAACCCGCTGTGGACTACAGAGACATTTCTTCCTACAATCAAGACCCTCCGCAGTACAGAAGATCAAGATGATTTTTCTAATGGACCTCCAGATGATGGTACTGGATGTGATTTACTTCATCATTCGCAACTCTATACGGGTCGTCCTGCGCCCGCGCACCAAGCCCATTGACGGGGAGCTGGTGCTGATCACCGGAGCAGGTGGAGGTCTGGGTCAGATCTTTGCTCAGGAGTTCACCAAGCATGGGGCAGAGGTGGTGCTTTGGGACATCAACACCAGTTCCAACGAGCAGACAGCCAAGCTGGTGCGGGAGAAGGGGGGTAAGGCGTACACGTACACGGTGGATGTGACCGATAGGCAGGATGTGTATCGCAAAGCAGAGCTTGTGCGGAGGGATCTGGGCCGGGACGTTACAATGCTGGTGAACAACGCTGGAGTGGTGGCTGGGGAGCGCATGTTGGACTGTCCTGATGAAATGATAGAGAGGAGCATGAAAGTCAACTGCCATGCTCTCTTCTGGGTGAGAACTATTTAGTCTATAATGACATTTGGTAAAGAGATATGAACAAATAAACTTTAAGTGTTGAATCCCCCAGATGAAACCTCCTTAGGTTCAGACAGGATGTCCAGCTGCCATTGACTTAATTTGTCTCAATACCATTCAGTGAATGGAAAATGGTGGCAAACGATCAAAACAGTCTGTAAGTCTGTGCAGCTTCATGTTTGATTAAAATATAATTCTGAAACCATTGTCAGAGTGGGGTTTAGCAGCAAATCATGTGTTACACAATCAAGACAATGAAAAACACTTCAGGGAATGCAGTCATTGTCTTGATTGGTTTGTATGAAAATTGAACACTTTTCTTGTTTTGCCAGAAACATCACAGCAGTGAGATTTTACTAAAATTATAAAGCTGCACACACAATGATTGCTTTGATTGTCTGCCATCTTTTTTCATTCTGTTTCCTTATTTGCACCAATTTTAACTTCTCAAAAGTTGGCACATTTTCTTAGTCGAACACAGACAATGATTCATCACTGCCTGAATTAAGACCTGGAAATAAAACTTTTCACAATACACAAGCTTTGCAGCATCAGCTGTTGTACAGAGCCGGTTATTGTGCACAGTGTTATGTGTGACATGTAAAATGTTTTGCGTTAATAGCTTTATCCCCTTCGCACTTTGGCCTATACTGTGGGTTTCCCACATAAATCCTCTTAATGTGAAGCTGCTTGTGCAACATAAGCTTCCTTCGCATTGAGCAACATTTAAGTAAAAACTATTTTCATGTACTTGTTGCCTCATAACATCCTGCTGCAATCTAACAGAATGTGTGGGTGTCTGTGTGTGTGTGTGTGTGTGTGTGTGTGTGTGTGTGTGTCTCAGACAGTGAAAGCCTTCCTCCCTCAGATGAAGGCCCAGAATCATGGACACATCGTCACCATCGCCAGCGTCCTCGGTCTCTTCAGCACAGCTTGTGTCGAGGTGAACCATGGACATGGAAACACCGCACTGCAACACTAAGAAAACTACACTTTACAGACGTTCACACACTTCTCTGCTTAAGTAAACTAATCATTTTGTAAATGTACCCCCCAAATTTGTTTTTGTTTGAGACAGGATTACTGTGCCAGTAAGTTTGCAGCAGTGGGCTTCCACGAGTCTCTGGCCCATGAGCTGCTGGCTGACGAGGTTGATGGAGTGAAGACGACTCTCGTGTGCCCCTACATTGTAGACACCGGCATGTTTGACGGCTGCAAGATACGGTATGCCAACAAAAAGAGCACATACTGCCTTATCCAATCACAGCATGTCATTAAACTGTAAATCGGATAATTATAATTAGCAATTTAGACCGAAACTGGAATATATAACAAAATCCTAAATAAGTATGGTGGAAAAACTGCTCATCAACAGTAGCATTTGTGTTCCTTGTTTGCTTGTTCACTTTGGTAAATGGAGTGAATTCATAAAGCGCTTTATCCAGTCTTTACGACCCCTCAAAGTGCTTCAAAAATGTCCCAAATTGGGTTCAATAAAAATACTTCTTATCTTATTTATCATAAAGAATACAAGTCATAATTCAATCCCAATTTCATTCACACCTCATTCATACAGAACAGTGCCACTTGCTCGGAAGTTCAAATTCTGTCACACAGACCGGGAGCAACTCAGGGTTAAGTATCTTGCCCAAGGGTGCATAACAAGTCTTTCTATTATGACCCTGGGTTATTCTGTTGATATTCTAAATGAAAACTCCTGTCTATTACCAGACACTTTGAATGCAACAGAGTGATAAGGGTATGTTGGTCTACGAGTGGATGCTTTGGTTTGTGTGTGCTTTGAAAGTGCTGCATACTTACTGTTGGGGAAATATTTTCCTAGGCCCACAACTTTGACCCAGTTTATCAGTTTGTTCTGACCTCACTGAGCACAGGCTGTGCTCTCAGTGTTTTGTCTCCCTATTCCTGCCTGTTGGCGTCAGCTGATAGAGGTGTTTTATCTTGTTATGCAGCATGTTGATGATTCTCTCAGAACCGGCTAAATACATGGGTCTGGGGTAGAGATCTTCAGAATTGGTTTGGCAACCGCTGTGTCAACTCGTGGCACACGACATGTCTTGTGAATTCTCCGGCCGAAGCTCCAAATAAACCATCAGTGTTTGCCATCAAAGTTCCTGCTCTCCCCGTGTCTCTCTAAGTCTCGTCTCCATGGCTTCAGAAGTTTCCATCACACTAACTCATCTGTGACTGCCTATTTGTCCTTTGGTGCCACTAATAGAGAGGAGGTGGAACAGTTCCTCCTGTCCCCTCTGGACCCCCAGTACTGTGTGGAGCAGGCCATGAACGCCATCCTTGTGGACCAGCCCTTAGTGTGCATCCCTCGCCTCACATACCTGCCGTTCCTCTCCAGAGCGTGAGTACAGAGCTACACCTTCAGATCAATCAGAGACTATAAATAACTCTAACACTGCTCAGCAGCTGATGTTCATGATGTTTGTTTCTTTTCAGATTGTTGCCATGGGAATCCAATGTGGTTACATATCGTTTCATGGGCTCTGACAAGTGCATGTACCCCTTCATTGAGGCTAGGAAGCAACTATTGTTGAATAACTCTGTTAAGGTTGAATAATTTCACATTAGTACTGTTAAGAAAACCTTTGTACAGAAGGGCCAAATGTGAAAAATGTATTTCATTCTGAAGCCAATTTTGGAGTCAAAACCATTACATTAAATAAGAATATCCTTCTGTTTGTGTGGACAACAGTGGGCCAAACTGCCCAGCTACATTAAGAACCTATTGGACCAATGTAATACTGAGGCCAAATGAAGCTGACTGTGAGCTTCAGAAAAACCATTCAGAAGTGTACTAGATGACAACTCAGCCAAGTGATCATCAGCACCCACACATCAATGTTCAGATGAAGTTTATAGACAGTTAAAACAGATTTCTCCATAAACCTGCAAGATGAGCACTTCAAAGTGACTGGATCCTGGACTGGCCAAGGGGATGTGTCATTAACATCTGTAATTTGATAATGTACCAGGATATTGCGCTGTATTATGTTTACATTAAATGAAATGATTGAAAAACCACATCTCCAAACAGTGTGTGGCGAGTGCTTGTGATTTGTGTGTTTATTGTTACTCTTACATGACTCATAAATGAGCGAAAACCATGGTAAGGATGAAAGAGGCGGCAATGAGGTGAAAAAGTGTAAGCAAGAATTATTTAGAAAACATGCGTTTTTCTACTTTTATCACAATTCCTAAAACAAAGGATTTTCTGGGGCCATTTTTAGAACAACTTCACATTATTTTAGCAATATCTAAAATAGTTTTGCCAATACTAATACCAGTAATATGCCAAATGCATACAAAATAACATGTTAAATAGTCAAATGCTGTTCAAAGCAATTCAAGCGAATCATCAAAAGGTTTATACAAAATAAATATTGAATTGTCGCACAACCTAACATTTACTTTTCGGTTTAATACTACCCATGTCAAGAAGAAAAAAAGATAAGAGAAGACTTAGTTTTGTGCAAGTAAGCACATCAGTTTATTACCATGGGGAGCGGAGAGAGGGGGGCGGTTGAAGCGGAGAGAGGGGGGAAGCATCAGGGACACATCGCTGTCACACAGCAGAGACAACGTCACATTACATCAAACGCTACATTTAGTAACAAAGTCATCCCAGCCCTACATGGTAATGTCAATAACACTTCACGTGTGGTTGTTTATGTAAAGCACTCTAGGAAAACCAACAGAGATTCGCCAGCTGCACCCTAGACAAAGATGGGGTTGTGACGTTTATGAGAGCTAGTTTAATGAACTACCTCAGCAGGGGATAAAACGTAAAATACTTCAAAACAAGAAGAAAGTTCTCACAGAGAGGAAACAAGTTCTAGGCTAAACAAAACAGAATTCACAGTTAGTCGCTTCTTTTTTTCCCCCCCGCCAAATAAACCCCAGACTCATTGGCTAGGATGCAGCTACTTTTTCTAAAAGCAAAAAAATAAATACTGTGTACAAATTAAACAAAATCAAGGGGAGGGACCTATTTTTCCTATCGATCTTGTTTAACATCTTGGAAAGGTGAATATGAACAGTGATGGTTTAGCGTCTACAGACCCGGAAGCTTCCTGTAAACGTCTAAAACTAAGAACACAGTGTCAGAGTTTTCTCTAGTGCTTTTACAGACCACTGATCATCTAAACAGTGCCGTCCAGAGTCTGTGTCAATGTGCTTGAGTTAGCCTGTTTCAGGTGCAAGTCACCTTCCATCTCCTGCTTGCCACACCTGAGGAAAATAAGTCACACAGAGTCAGTGTTAACAGTTAATCTGACCCAAAATATGACTTTGATAGCTGTGTTTGCGTGCACCTGTGTGTAGTATTTATATGTGCCCTGGGTCATGTGTTAAAGAATAAACAGCAACACCACCAAATCCAGCCTTAGACTGTGAGACGTGTTGAGTACCTACAACTATTGTCAGTTTAATACTGTGCTTTTCATACAAGCTACTTCTTCTTTTTTTAATAACAGTAGAATACATTCTGGGTTATTAAGCAAGAGCTGTGTCTGTTTATCTTCAGAAAATTAATAGATGATCTCCTAAGGTTCCCTGGGAAACATGCAGCACTTGGAAAATTGACAAGCAACATCTTCCGAGCAAGCCATTTAATGCTGATTGAAGTGTTTACATGTAGCATTTTCTTGATTACTGATTGTGTTAATTAGCACGATGAAAGGTTTATGATAAACAGCTATAAGTAGCCAGAGAGACAGTGTTCGTCACAGCTTACCGAGAGATTGGTCCATTTCCTGTCCTTTCATTTGACTGCTGGTCCAACTCCGAGAGCAACTTTAATATATTCAATGCAGCCTGAAGAGGTGAAGAACAGTAAAGGTTAAAGGTTATTGCATTGTCCCAAATGCTACTGAGTACAAAAGGAAATAAAAGAAAACTCGGACAGCTATTATCGTAACACTTGCTTTGTTCTGCGCAAGAGCAGTAATTAGCTGTGGAAAAGGTAGGGCTTAATGATACGCTTTGCAGCATATGAGAACTGAGAACTAATCCGTCCTGCTTTGTCAACATTGGATGTTGTTATGGTGAGTGACCCTCTTGAAGCCCCTTGTTTCCAGCATTTTCCTATTTAGTGTGATATCCTGGCCCAATCTGAGGCCGTCCAAACACTCCATCATTTCACTCAAACACAATGTGATTACTTGCATTCTGGACATAGAATAGAAAAAGCTTTGTAAAGATAATAAATGGTTACAATACATTTCATACTTAGAAAAACACTCACCATATCATGACAGGATTCTACATCTTTCCCAATCCCATGACTGATGAGCGGAGGATAGGAGGAGCAGTTAATCAGCGACACAAACTCGTTCTTGTTGTTTTTGGGGAAATCTTTGTACTCCACCTGCAGAAAATACAATATTTCAATAAATCTCAACATGTTTTTGTCCAAATCAAATGCATGCACACTAAGAACTTTTGAAAGAACATCCATAACATTCATCTGGTTGTAACTTATACTTTTATATATATATTCCAATTACTTGTATATCGACTATTCTGCACAATTTCTATTATATTCTATTTTATTTTGCACTATTATCTGTTTTATTGTGTTGCACTGTTGGAGGAGCCTGTGACCTAAGAATGTCATTGTCATAACTACACTGTAGCTATGTACATATGACAATAAAAGCCTTGAATCTTGAATCTAAGGGCGTTATTGAATTCCCCGAAGTGGAACATGCCGTCAGTTACCTGCAGGTTCTGCACCGATGAAAGGAAGCCGAGCTGCTCTGAAGGCCTGGTGAGGGGTCCGTGGGGCAGTTGGTTCAGATTGTTCTTGTTCTGTAGGATAGTCTCAGCAGTCGGTGAAGTCCCTGCGTAGAGCAGCTCGTTGGCAATAATAGCAGTGATGGTGGCCATGCCGGGGTTGGGTGCTGCTCGACTGTAGTCCTGGGACACTTGGCAGATTCCGACTGCCTGAGCCACTTCAGGGACCATGGGAAGGATACCGGCAGGAAGCTGCTGGTGGTTCAGGTAAGGCAGGCGGAATTCCTGGTCCTTGGTCACTTCAAAAGGAAAAAGCACATTTATAAGGGCTGTATTATTGACTGAAATAAATGAATATGACCTCAGCTAAATATTTCAGTCCAGCAGATATGTTGATACTTACTCAATGTCCTCTCCTCTGCAGAGCCAGGTTCGAAGAAGGTCACTTTGCGCCCATCACCTGGTTTTTTCACTGGGGTCTAAACAATACAAAAGAATGTCACAAATGAAATCTTTCTTGTCTGCCAGGTTTACAATGATTGACAGGAGGCGAGGCAGTACCTTCTCATCAGTTTTCAGAGCCGGTTTAGGGGGCTGAGGCTGAGGCACTTTATATCCCAAGAGCTCCAGCATTTTCTCTGCTGCGTTCCTCTTGGCCACTTTTTTACTGGGCCCCATTCCCTCTGCAGTCTGACCGCACACCGTCACCTGTGGCAGAAAACATGCAGCAAAACACATGAAAAAGATTGGGGTAGAAAATCTACAAGCAAAGCAGAGGAAATCAGAGATAGTTGCATAAGTTAAGGGAATGCATCCGTTGCTGTTGAATCACCTGCATGACGAACTCCCGGCGCCGAGGCAGACCTCTCTCCGTCACCATGCTGTACTCCGGCTCCTTCTCCTTCTTGGCCTGCTGGATCTGAGCCAGGCGGCTGATGGGATTCATTCCCTGGCCATATTCTGGGCTGGTCTGCAGCTGTGGATGTGAGGTCAAAAGTCACTTAAAGGTCCCCTATTATACTGTTTTTCATCAATATATTATAGTTCTCAGATATATACAAACATGTCTCTGAAGTGTTTGGCTCCAAATACCCAACAGATCACTCATTGCAGCATCCCATAATCCCCTCTGTTTCAGCCCTGTTTCAAAAGTGCTGATTCTGTGTCTGTTACTTTAGATGAAAATAAGGAGCCACTCCCCACGCCCCTCAGAGATATTTGGTTAAAAAGAATACAATGGTGCTCTAGGAGGAGATTCAGGTGATAAGGTGGGGGGGGGGGTTACCTTGGTTGGTTATTGGCTAATGGTTACACAAGCCAAAAAATCTGATCAGCTTATTTTCAGACAGGTTTTATATAAATGGATCAGGACAAAAAAAACGTTCAGAATCTCTTTACACAGAGGGGACACATGTTTATGTATAAAAGACATGAACAAGTGGATTTTGCATAATAGGTGACCTTTAATGAAGAGTTTTTAGGGTCTGTTAGTGATTTTTCGTATTGCTGCTCACAGCTCCCTTTACCTTGATGATGGATTTGGTTTTCTTTTTGATGCGTGGCAGCGTCTTTTCCACACTGGGTATATGTGGTAGCCTTTTCAACTCCCCCAGCACCGATGCTGCTGCCAACTTCTTGGCAATTTTTTTACTCTTTCCTTCACCCTCTCCAGCGAACTCCCCGACTGCAACGCGCACTATAAAACTCTTCATATGGGGGGGGCCGTCTTCTTTTAAAACCTGAAAAACAACAGTGACAAACTATGATGGAGAGGAGCATTCATGTTCTATATTTATACTTGATAAGAAACAGGGTTAGGTCAAA